TTGTAGTACGTATGTGTGATAAGCCGAGTACGTCCACTGGGCATCGCGTACCCTCTACTGATTGCGTCAATTCAGTACGTATCTCCACACTATTTCTTGAGTTTATCGTGCATAGAATCTTTCTTTCAGCTGGGGAGTCGTGGACGGGTGGCCCTGACAGTCTTACTCGCTACGTGTTGGCGCTGGAACGCTAGCTCTCCAATCCATCGTGAGTAAGGTTGGAGCAGCCCTGGGGACTCCGTCTTAGTGTACTACCCATCTATACGACAATCCACTACCGTATCCCTCTGGCCGATGGGCTAAGTGACCATAGCGTCTTGCTATGCGACGGTGGCAAATCTCATTCCTACGCCCCGGGCAGGCCAACTCGGTCGCGCCGCCATTTAGCCAACCCCGTACATCTTCTACTCTTACGACGACCCGTTAAGATCCTCTTGAAGTTCCTCTTGTTGGTATCTGCGCGAGCGCCAATTGCCCGATGTCAGGTTAGGCTTCCTTATTCATGGATGTGTACGACGTGCGCTCCAATTCAGATCGCGGGCCACCGTCCTATATCTTACTCACCTAGCGATCACTCTATCGACGCCGGCCCTCAACATAGTAGCGCTCTACTCTATCATCAACCTCCACTACGACGTCCGTGAGTCGAGAAACTATGCCTTAATATTCGATAGTTTTCGCTTCGTATGACTCGTGAGCCAACATGATTGTCTCTCTCTTCTTGTTGTACGATGCATCAAATGCCGCATGACCTATATTTAAAGCCGTACTCATCCTACACGCCTGTTCGACATCTGTGGTACTCTATTCCAGGATGCTGTGTGACGTTTTCTCTGTCGGTCTCGTCGCGTCTTACGTCACCCATTTACCTGCCGGAACAAGGCGCTTCGACAGTGATGCCTCGGCGCTCCATATTGCCTTGTGCCACTCTGTGACATAGCGGAACCGGAGATACCTTTTTTGGATCTTGGTCGCACGGCGAGATGAAGGCATCGCACCCTATATGTTACGCTTCATGATACTGGACAGACCACTGATAAGTCTGCCATCGTTTCACCTGTTTGGCATGCAACGTTCCTCACAGACCGATCGCATCCTACTCCTGGCCTCCGTTACAATCAAAGATAACGATGGTACATACGTACGACAGGGATCGTAGTTACGTATGTATGATAAGCGAGACGCATATATATGTACGAATAATAATCAGTACGTATCTTATTCTGTATTGTGCATAAATCTTTCTTTCAGCTGGAGAGGTTGAGGTCGCTGCAGCTTCTGTGGGTATCACTGAAGGTGGAGCAGCCGGCTCAGTGTGTGTGGTATTGACGGGAACAACTGGCTCTCCTACTGAACTTGTTAATCCTCTTGCAGTCACTGTGGCGTCTGTGCTGAATGCCGATGCAGGTAGGCTATAATCATAAGTTAACGGTCTATTCTGCACCGTCTATTTCCACCTGACATTCCCTACATGGGTACGTACAACGTAACTGTTCGTATATAGTTTTATAGCCACATGTTCTCTTTTAAATGCATGTTTATCATGATTAAATGCATATTTATATATATTTAACCTGGAATTGTGTGCACTCAGGAGCTGTTGACTTTTTTCTGGGTGCGTCTGTCACCATTCCTGCCGGAACATCGCTTCCGACTGATGGCTCTCATTGTGTGGCAGTGAACGGAACGGAAGATACCTTATTGGAGGGAGATGAAGCATTTGACGCTATGATCAATGGGACAGACCAAAGTGCTGTCGTTTCCGTTGGAGCATCAGACACTGCCACCGTTACAATCACTGATAACGATGGTGCGTACGACATGGATCATGTAGTTACTTGTGTGTGATAAGCGAGACGCATATATATGTACGTATAATAATCGGTACGTATCTTATTCTGTATTGTGCGTAAATCTTTCTTTCAGCCGGGGAGGTTGAGGTCGCTGCAGATTCTGTTGGTATCACTGAAGGTGGAGCAGCCGGCTCAGTGTGTGTGGTATTGACGGGAACAACTGGCTCTCCTACTGAACTTGCGTGTGTGAGAATAGCAAGTCAAAGAGCAAAAATGGTGTCATACGCACATTGATTGCAGCAGTACAGATGCAAGTGTGCATAAAATTTTATTTCTACTTAACTATGCTCTCTCTCTCCCTCTCCCTCTCTCTAGTTGAAGGATGCATTTCTGCTGGATCTGGATTGGAGCGAGTCTCAGTTGCTGATGGGGAAGGATCGGAGCATCCAGCCATGCGGAAACCAAGATTGCTACCCCTTCCCGTACTGTTGCCGTACCAACCTCCTGTCGCCCCGACAACAACAATACCAGTCTTCGTTCTCCTGGCTCTGATGATGTCATCAGTAGTGCCAGGATCGTAAATAGTAAGTTGCATTCTTGTGCTGTCTCCTTGGCAACTCTATTGTAGGGGCGTCATAGCTACCAAAAACTATAATCTATTCTCCTTACAAAATATGTAATTAATATTAAATTAACAAGAGGCAATTTTTGTTAATAATGTGCGCCAATATAATTATATGTACAAGTCGTTTACTTATTACAAGAACCACCACAAACATGTTTAGTAACTAACTGGCTAATCTTTAAACACTAGCATTTAAAAACCTCTGAATACCTCTAATATGTCATACACTATCCGCTATCCTGTTGTGTGGCATGCGGGTAGTTTCCATGGCAACCACACCTGAGTGCATGCGCAGTAGGTACAACAACTATACAGCGCGTTCGTTCGTGCCGTGATAAATTAAAAATGATGATGTGGACATGAATCAAATCGTCATTGTAGAACGTATGTGTATTGTAACAACATGTGTGTATAATATTGAGCCCAACTTGAGCCTTTTTCTACCATCAGTACTAACAAATATTATATAGAGCGAAGGACAGTACGCCAGCTACTTGACGTACAAGGTGATCGTAGTTACTATGTGTGATAAGGAGACGCATATATATGTTCTGTATTGTGTATAAATGTTTCTTTCAGCCGGGGAGGTTGAGGTCGCTGCAGCTTCTGTGGGTATCACTGAAGGTGGAGCAGCCGGCTCAGTGTGTGTGCTATTGACGGGAACAACTGGCTCTCCTACTGAACTTTCTAATCCTCTTGCTGTCTCTGTGGAATCTGTGCTGAATGCCGATGCAGGTAGGCTCCTAATCATAAGTTAACGGTCTATTCTGCATCGTCTATTTCCACCTGACATTCCCTACATGGGTGCGTACAGCGTAACCGTTCGTGCATTGTTGTAGCCTCATGTTCCTCTTTTTATGAACGTTTATCATCATTATAATATGCATATATATGTATATATATATATATATATTAAACCTGGAATTGTGTGCACTCAGGAGCTGGTGACTTTTCTCTGGGTGCGTCTGTCACCATTCCTGCCGGAACAACGCTTCCGACTGATGGCTCTCATTGTGTGGCAGTGAGCGGAACGGAAGATACCTTTTTGGAGGGAGATGAAGCATTTGACGCTATGATCACTGGGACAGACCAAAGTGCCGTCGTTTCTGTTGGAGCATCAGACTCTGCCACCGTTACCATCACTGATAATGATGGTGCGTACGACA